TTCCCAGCATTAGACTCTTCTCCAGGGAGTCCTTCCTTCTCATTAGGTGGCCAAAGTATTTGAGTTTCATCTTCAGTATCTGACCTTCTAAAGAGCAGTCAGGGTTGATCTTCTCTAGGACTGACCGGTTTGATCATCTTGCAGTCCAAGGGACTCGCAGGAGTCTTCTCCAGCACCACAATTCAAAGGCCTAAATTCTTTGGCACTCAGCTTTCCTTATGGTCCAACTTTCACAGCCAGCCGGGAAAACCATAGCCTTGACTATACGCACTTTTGTCGGCAGGGTGATGTCTCTGCTTTTTAGTATGCTGTCTAGATTTGCCATAGCTTTCCTCCCAAGGAGCAAGTGTCTTTTAATTTCTTGTCTGCAGTCCCCGTCTGCGGTGATCTTGGAGCCCAAGAAAATAAAATCTGTCACTACTTCCATTTCTTCCCTATCTATTTGCCAGGAAGTGTGTGGACCGGATGCCATGATCTTAGTTTTCTTAATGTTGACTTTCAAGCCAACTTTTTGCACTCTCCTCCTTCACCCTTATCAAGAGGCTCTTTAGTTCCTCTTCACTTTCTGCCATTAGAGTGGTATTATCTGCATATCTGAGGGTGTTGATATTTCTCCCGCAAATATCAAAGACCAAAGCTGGTCTCTTAAGGAAACAGAAACATGAGAAGACCCATGCGGGATCAGACTAAGGGTCCACCTTGTCCACATTCTGTTCACACAGTGGCCAACCAGTTGCCCAGGGAAATCCCTTTCCCCGAGGAGGGCATGAAAGCCAAAGCTCCATCCCACCTGTATTCTCCCACAATTGGTATACCTGGGCAGGCTGCCTCTGATGCTGCTACAGTTGCTGAAGTTGGTGCTTTAAACATTTATTTGAGTGCGTGTTGTTACATTTTAATTAAGAGGGTTTGTTAAAACTAGATTTTATTGTTAGTCACCTTGGGCACTATTTGTGGCAGAAAGTTGGAATCATAAATAAAGAACAGTAGCCAGACACATCCAGTCCATTGGAAGGAAGGGTTCATCAGCAGCCTGGCTTCCTTGTCACCTCCAGCTTAAGTAGCAGTCAGATGTGGGCTTTCTAGGCATCCCTAGTGGTTTCACCAGGACAAGTCTCTTACACATCTCCATCCTGAAGGATTTAACCCATCAAAACTCTGTCTGTGGTGAAAAAAGTGTTTTGTTTTGGAATGCTTTAAGGCTTTTAAACCATGAACACATGCATCTAGATCAGGGGTGGGCAATTAATTTTCCTATGGGGCCACATGAGAAACTTTGACAGTTGTTAAGGGCTGGACCAATACACTTACAGCTCTGCTCAATATATATCTCTATAAAAACAGTAGATGAAACATTACAATGATACAATGAAAATGTGGAGCACAGAACAACACTATTTAATGAATATTCACAAAAACATTAACATTACATGAAAAGCAATAAATTCAATTCAGTTTAGCAGATCCTTCAAAATAAAAGCAGTGCAGTTGTATTGCTTGCATCTATATTACGATGACATATATTTGCATTGACTTTTAATTTGCCAGTGACCTCATGCGGGCCAGTCAGGGTCAGCCATCGGGCAGGATGTGGCCCGTGGGGCGTACAATGCCCAGGTCTGATCTAGATCCAAATTTAGTCTTGATTACAATAGATCCATTGACATTGATGGGGCACTAAGTTATTATGAGCTTAAATCCCATTAATTTGAAAGTGCCCACTGTAAAAATGGCTAAAACTGGATCCATCTGACCATGTGTCAAGGCATATTAATTAAGCACATGATTTGGATACTGCAAACCACATAGTAATTGTACTAAATCTTGTACCAAGGCTAATCATCCTCATGAATAAGGCTTCTGCTTAGAAGACAAACAGTGGCAGAAGAGAATCCTGGAGAAGTATCTTTGCTCTTAGGAAAGTTTACTGTGTTTTGTGGGGTTTACTCTCTAGTAAGCATTCTTATGATTGCAGCCTTAGTTCAGGAATGGAATTGTTCCAAACTATAGCTAATAGCTAACAGGTTTAAGAGTGTTCCAAGAGGTAAAGCAATCAGAAGGACCAGAGACAGGGAACTCAGATTGTCAGAATCAGAACCAAGGCCAGTGAAAGTCCCTAGGTCTGTCCAATAAGTCAGCAGTCTAGAACCTTAAAGACTATTCCAGAGGGGTTGATCTCAGAATCTTTGTTTTTTGGGTGCAGGTCAGTTAGCAATTAAAGGTCTAGAACTCTGGCCTTAACACCATTGGTGATAGCTGTTTCCTCTTTTGTGCAGCTTGTGGCAGGGAGGGGTAACTCCCAAAATTCTGACAGATGGAAAGCTTCTACTTCTCATAGAAGGTACTTCCTGGATCAAACCACAAGTACTTTACATACCATGATTTAAATTATTGCAAGAGTCCTATTCAGACTCTTGCAATAATTGTGTCTGTAAAGAATACAGTGATGTTTTCAGTCATCTAGATGAAGCACTTGGAACAGGGAAGGAAGAAGGCTGGGGTGCTTCCCACACCCTAAAACAGTGATGGTGAACCTTTTAGAGAGCGAGTGTCCAAACTGCAACCCAAAACCTACTTACTTATCACAAAGTGCCAACACTGCAGATTCAAATATGCCAGGGGGACAACAAACATTAAAAGAATCTGTCTCTTACTTAGAACATCTCTTTGCTAAATCTTAGATATTAAATTTCAATTTTTCATAAGAAAAGTCAAAGCTAAAATCTTGTGTTAATAAAAACAAATGTATTAAAATTCACAGCCAATCCAAACAAATATATATATATCTTTGGCAGCGCACTGACTGGCCATGTGAAAGCTCAGACGACTTGTGGCTAATGAGCCACAGCCCGTGACATCATCGCCTGGCGCCGCTACTCCTTTCTGAGCATGTGCATGGCCCCTATGTACGCTGTTATCCGATGCTTGGCCGCTGGGGCAATGCTGGGGCAACTTGGCTCGTGTGCCGACAGAGTTCTGCGTGCCCGCTGCGGCACGCATGCCATAGGTTCGCCACCACTGCCCTAGAATGTCCCTTTTTGCCTTCTCTGAGGCCTAGTTCTGATCTGTGAGAAGAAGCCAGTGCTGTTCTTTTCTGTCAGCTGCAAAGGGGGAGGAGTAGGGAATTGGTCCTCGGTCTCCTCTCGCACCAAGGATCTGGGAGTCCAAAAACTTGTGTGACAAACAGGACATTAGGAGATTTTACCATGAGTGGCCTACTTTACAGAGGATAGACCTCTTTTTGAAGGAGTGTCCCATCTAGGTATGAGTTAAGGATAGATAACCATCAGAAGGGAGAGCAGGCAAGAGACTTGAAATTGGCCATGATCTGAATGCAAATGGAGCACAAACACAGATCACCTGGTTGCACTGACTTCCCATAATAGTAGGATGTACTGTATTTTTATTTTAATAATAGTAATTATTTCTAAATGTGCATCTATACATATAAACTAGCACATGCACATTTAACGCAAATCTGCACCCCCATTTGTCAACATGTGTCTGCCCTAGTCCAGAGGGCTGATATTGCCTGCCAGTTTCTGATATTGAATGCCCCTGTTCCTGTCCCATGCCTTGAAACAACCCCAAGATATGAGCATGCCCAGTCATAGTTAGTTTGCCAGTCTCAGCCTTGGACCATGGACTTCCTGTTCAAGGTGCAGTTGGTAGGATTTGAGTCTTCCTTGCATGCGTGATGCCAAGGCTGGCAGAGCGGGCAGAGCTGGAACCCCACTGTCATCCCAGCAATCCTGCACAAGGTTTCCAGGAAAGGAAAGTGAGGGGAAGCTAAAGCCTCTTCCTGTCCAAGTGACTGCAGTGGAGAGTACAGCTTCCCTGTCACCTTTAGTTGCATGGACTGGTGAATCTGTTAAGGTTGCAGAACTGGTTTAAAGAGGGATTATGCACCTTTGTACGGAGCCTGTTTTCACATTCCACCCAGTGGTTGCAGGACTTGCAAGCCCAGTCCTTGAACCAGAATAGGAGAAGGTTGAGATTTAAAGTATAGACAAATTATGTTAAATCCATTCTGTTTGTGTTTAATAGATTGTCAGGCATTGTTTCATCATCTGTGGATTTTTTTTAGAGATGTCCAAGAATTTCACTCCACTCCAAGTGCACACTAGCATTAATGTGCACTGGCACAAGGACAAATTTGCACAAATCCCCCCATAGTTTTATGTTTTTAAAATAAACCTGCAAGTCTATGCAATTTGTGAGACCAGTCCACTGTGGAATCTACTGGTTGGATTCACAGAAATCTAAATCTGGATTTCTTTGACATACCTAGTTTAGAGAAGCTCATCTAAAGGTAAATATTTTCTGCAGTTGCAGCTCTGATAAAACAAGGATGCATAAAATTTCAGGTTTATGGAATCTGCTGTTTTTAATTATAACCCCAAGGTCTTCCACTGTTGTAGCCTGGTGCAAAAGACATCACACTTAGAATTAAAAGTACTTAGGATTTTTTTAATTTTTGAGTACCAGAAAGCAAGCCCCTTCCACAGAAAAATTCACATTAATTTCTTTATATATTGCTGGTAATGTGACATTACTGCCATTCAGAAATTCTTGCCAATGTACTATAAATTATCCGGCAATCCACCAGTAGATCCAAATCTACCTTCTGCACAGATCAGCTTTAAAAGCTGTGATATGGGCATGCTTGTATAAACCAAAGTAGAATATGAGAATACTAACAATTAAGAGCATCTCTGGGAATGTCATATTGTGGCATTACCAATGGGACATAATTTTCTGACAGCTTGATCAATGCCCAGGGACTAATACACCTGTCTATATATATCTCTGCTCATGGATGCTTCTGCCAATGATTTTACAAAATTAAAAACCAGTATAAAACTTCTAGATTTTTCCTATGTGTTCAAACTCAGTTGATATCAACACTTTCTTTTACTGAGAGAGATCCTCACTGCTTGTTTCAGGGAAGGCAACATACTAGTTGGTGAGGCTCAGAAAGGAAAAACAACACAGTACAATTAGATTCTGCCAATACTTTGAATTTATTCATGTCTGGACCAGAAGGAAAACCTTTGTCATGCTATAAATTTTTATTAAAAACAACTAATTGTATATTTGTATTGATAAATTAATAAGCAATTGATTTTTGCACACACTGATACAGGATGTTCTCTTATAAAACTGAAATGTAATTTTTCTTTCTGTACCTTTTTAGATTTGGAAATGATGCAAAAGAGGGAAAATTGCTATGTGAGCTTCATAGAATTCTTTGTTTTGCATGTGGAATCAAAATAATTACAAAAGGTTATGCCAGTGATTGAAATCTTTGTGCATTATCTGAAAACATGCACCCTGATTTAGTGTGTGCACTTGTCTTTTGTTTTGAATCATTGGATGTACACATGCATAAGTGTTGGTTTTGGAATCCAAATGTATGTGAATTGGATATACTAGAAATACCCTTAAAGACAAGAGAGGATAATATATTTCAAATGCTAGGCTTAATACTGCTCTGATCATGGAAATAATGACTCAGTATGAAAAGATATGGTTTATACACTAGAAAGTTTTCATAAACTGCTCAAAATTAACACAACATTACAACCAAGAGTGATTTGTCTGGCTTCTCAAACACTTGAAAGACAGAAATCTTCAAGGCTATTCTCCTTTCTGTTTTCCAGTTCATGTTGATCCAGTTGATGATACTCAAATGTTACACGATTGATATGCTTGCCACTGGAGACCATTCTTAGCACAGTGTTGTCACAGCCAATTTTCATTTGGGCTAATCAAAGAGAGGAAGCATCTTTGTCACATTTGAAATTCCTAAGAATTGATGTATAATTTTAAATCATTTGGAAATGGATTGATTTAATTTGAACACTGTCCTTCTACCAAAATGGCACTCAATATTACTTACAGTATATAATAAAATATAATATAGCTCTGAAAGAACTCAAATGGACAGTGCCATGACTTTAGCATCCTTATCCTATACACCCAAATTTATATGTATATGCATTTTTTTAGAGTATTGCCCCAATCCAGAAAGCTTGGATAGAAGCAGTTTCTACATGGATTGAGTGACGTGTATGTATATTAGAGATTAATGTGCCCTTGGGTATGTATTTGTGTTGCAATTAGCTCTTGGGCATGTTTTATCCAGTGCAACACCTTATAATCCATTGAGCCAGCCATACTACAAGGTACTTGGATAAAGGGACAATTTTCACTCCAAAGCTCAGCAGGAGAAAGAGCATTCCACTTCAGCAATTCTTCAGTGATTGCTTTAAAAAGGGATTCAATGGTTCATGCATTCTGCAAACATTGTGCTTACTCAGTAGTATTACCATTTATCCTCAGTGATATTAGCATATAGCTGCATTTGTTGCTCTGAATGCCAGGATTGACCTGAATCATGAGAAGTAGTAATCCAAAGACACCGTTGGCATAATGTCGTTTCCCCACCTTTTAAGGCAACTGTCCCAATCAACAGTATCCCAAAGCACAACATTATGCTGGAGTTGCAATCCAATAAGCACAAAACTATTTAGACTGGAGTAATCAGCAATCATATTTTGTGGTTCTCCCCCCACTGCCCCTGCAATGCCTTTGAAACCACTTAAATAAGAGGCATTAATAAAAGGAACTCACCAGGACCATGGAAGGAATGGCACAAATCAGCTAAAGGGGACATCTTAGAAGGATCTAACCCATTGCCTCCTAACAGCTCGATGAAATCTCCTACACCACCACAACCTGCTGAGGGTTTCTTTAATAGAGAAAAATAGGTAGAGTAATAAGTAATTTTCTTAAACAAATCCAACATTTTTGTATAACTTTGTTTTAATAAAGGAGATTCACCTGAAAATTCAGGCTGCTTTAAGATTCAACCATTGATGTCCTAGTCAGAAAAATCAACACTCTTTTCTCCATTAGACATCTTAATATACTGCTGCTAACAAAGATCCATTCCAAAGAACAGGGATTTCAGGAAGCATTTAGAAAATAAAGGTGGGAAATGAAGAAGATAAACTTTCTGCTGTTTGAGAGTAGGTTCTTTGAAGTACCTTACATTACTTACTTTCTCTTCTTCAATGTGAGTTTGATGTTGCTGAAACCTCTGTTAGCTCTTAACTGTTTAGTAAACTGTTTGTAATATGAATATAATATTGATATTGCTGTAAGTCAGTATTATTAACTAACCTATTGGCATGTCTTGTGCACTTATTTAAATTTGGTTGGCATGAACTGTCACTGAGTTTAACATAGTACTATAATTTATTATCATTATGGCCATTGTATCCAGTTGTTCTGTGAACTGCTTGGAGCACAATGTATTTTGCAAAATGCCATATATAAATAAATTGACTATGACTAAATCCATACAACACATCACCAGAAATTATCCAATCAGGGTGGTTTCTTACATGATAGGGCTCGTGGGAGGCAATAATCTATTCCTTATACCACACTTTGTGGATAAATTTAGGTCATGGATGGTCTTTCCACGATTCTTTGTCAACAGTAAAAAAGCACAGCTGTTATATTGTTATAATGAAAGTTCTTTCTTGAGAAAAAATGACTGCCAACACAAAAGCACAGCTGTTTTGTGGCAATCATCTTTGCTCAAGAAAAAATTTCTGTTATAATAATATCCCGTTTTCTTAGCATTCAAGTCAATATTCTTGTTACAGGGAAAATTCTCAGAAAATTATCCTCCTGCACAGAGCACCCTTCCTGCACGGTTAATGCAGTGTGCAAATGTCACAGGACGGCACCTGTTGGACTGTGTATATGACACCCTTCTCCATCGCCAGACTTTAAAAGCCTTTAGCACAGGCAAGCTGCTTCTTGAAAGTACCATTCCAATGCTGGAATATTCACGTTGTACTTTTCATTTCCTATTTAAAGTGACAAGCCTCACGGAAAAAGCTTGCCCTTCTTGGAGTGATCATGGTGTTGTAGGATGCATATTGTGTAGAATGCGATTGCTATCACTCTGTAGCCCTTCATGCAATGCTATGAACAGCACAAGCTGTTGCTATGATGAGAGGTTATAGCAGTACAGCAGCTTATAGATCACACCCCATAACAAGCAACTGGAAAGGTTAAAGCCATTTCATAGGGTCATTCTACCCATTAGGTTAAATGCACAGTGCATGGTTGAGGTTTATTTTTCTTTTGTTACTCCGGAGTAAAACATTGTGAGTCTGTTTCAGATCAAGAATACCATGCACAGGGAGGGGGGGAATTAAACTTTCAACCCCCCCCCCCAATTTCTTCCTGACTGGCCTCCCCTCCATGGGATTTTTTAAAAAGCCTTCTTTCATGGCAATGGATACTTCTTTCTGTTTTAACCCACAGTGGGCAGCAAATGGGCAGGAGATTTAATCTCCCCCACCCCCAATGCATAGTAGTCTCAACCTGAATTGGCCCCAAACATTCTAGAGTATATATATTTAAAATAACCATCAGCTGCACATTACACACAAGGTGCTGCGTAGTTTGACAGTCAAAAATAGCATTCCATTCAACATCACAGCAGTAGACGTCTATTTGAACAATAGGCTTTCCTCTTCTTCCCTACAGCTCTCTATACATGCACACATCTGCTTTGGAATGTTTCTGAAACCTCCAGAGTGGATTTGGGGAACACTTTGCAGCCAATGCAGGGAGTAAACATCCATTTGCAAATGACCAGCACTGATGGGCAAACACCTTTGGACTTTACCCTTTGTATGCATTTTGGCCTTGCTTGAATATACAAGGAGATTTTCCAACATCAAACAAACAAACAAACAAAACTAAACAATCCCCCATGCCACAATTTCTTGTACAGAAGGCGTTTGTCAATTTGAATAGCAACCTCTATGCACCTTGCATGTGAGTGATTTTCAGTCCAGAGTAAGTACAGGTATATCTTTCTGTAATGAGTCATTTGATGCTGGGAATGATTGACGGCAAAAGAAGGGGATGGCAGAAGATGAGGTGGCTAGATGGAGTCACTGAGGCAGTGGGTGTGAGCTTGGGTGGACTCCGGGGGATGGTGGAGGACAGGAGAGCCCGGAGGAATGTTGTCCATGGAGTCGTGATGGATCAGGCACAACTTTGTGACTAAACAATAATGAGTCAAAATAAGTAGTACTAATATAAATATAGGAGTTACAGGACAATCTGGTGAGCCAGGTAACCACCTATGAAGAAGTTTGCAACTCACCTTTAGGTGGAGGCCATTCAAATGTCCCAACATAAGATCAGATATTTTAATCACCACCGGGTAGATTATAGAAAAGCTGCAGTTTCTGTGCTGGTGAGGAATGATCATGGTAAACCTTCCAGCTGGTGTCTGAGATATGACATTGCAAGCTTTAGTGCAGGGGAAAGATACAGAATTACTTAGTTACAATCTGTTCACTGAAAAGGAATGAAGGATTTTTATCTGATGGCATAGCATCCAACTAGATGAAGCATACATGCAATTGGGCCTTCTGCCTTCTTTATTTCTCCCCCACCGTCCAAAGTAGACATGAAGGCCTTCTGTTTAGATTGAGACCATGACACTGGAAGGCAGGAGGTGAATCTTGCCCCCACCTCACCATTTGCTGAGAACTTTGGCTACTGGGCAGCGTAGAAATATAATTAATCTCCTAATCCCTTGGGGAAACTTGTGAATGACTTTAGCTTTCACCCACCAGGGTAATAGCTACTTCAAGGGGTGGTGCATTTTTTCCTGCTGGTGCAGAGGGGGAAGCAGCCAGTTCCTCTCCCTGGGGCACTGTGGTCCCAATCCGCCCTTCCCCAAATGTGTTTTGACAACACAGAGGATTTGAACATCCCCAGTATCATGTGGGTCATAAGGGGACCTCATAATGAACCTGTGTTGATTTTATGCCATTTCTCATGGTTACTCAAAAAAGATGCTTTCCCCATAAGGCCATTAAGTCCAGGGTCCAAAATTACCTAGCTGTACCACTGGTCAAGTAGCACAAGAGCCAGAAGAACTGAAATATTACCAACAAAACTGGCAGATTTATCTCAATTTAGAGTAGATGATGGAGTAAGATTTCAGGGGGGAAAATGGCACCCTGATGCTAAACATTTACAATCACTGTCAGAATAAAGGCTCTCCCTTATCATCATATTATGAGAGAGCCATCAGTACAAGGAACAACTGCTCTGTGCATCTGTTTACTGGTGCAGTAAATATTAAGGCTATGCTATGGGACGCATTATCACAGTATTCATCACTGCCTCTATTTGTTTTACACTCAGACGGTGACAGGAAACCAAACTTACGGAACAGGTTGGGCTTTTTCTTTACTGTTAATGTGAATCCATTTCCTGGGTTATGAATCCTGAAGAAGATCATTGCAACATTCTGTGATGACCTGATGGTGCTCCTGATGCCGCCACCTTCACAAAAGTCTATATATCTTTTGGAGGTGGGGAGAGGGTGATCCAAGGAGCTAGGAAACTTCTCGCCTTTCAGTATCCAGCCATCAAACACCTGGAGGAATGCAGCAGCAGAGAGGACCATTCATGTTTACATTCTGCCTGCAGTTCCCAGAAGCATACAAGTAGCATCTATGCTGCTTTCATGACCCAAAGCACACCTGTGGCACTACATGCTGATCTTACCTTGCAGAGACACTGTTTAAAATGTGCAAAGCAAAATGTTCCATGGAAATCCCCTGACATTAAATGGTTCTTGGAGATTATGAGGATTGAAAGTGGAAGCCTAAAGCCCAATGCACATTTTGCAAATCCAGGAAGAATTTAAACATTGTGTGAGAGGGGCCCATATAACATTCCTGGCCAGGTAGTTTTGAGTGCATAACTAGACATGTTGTGGGAGATCCTTAAATAGGATTTCCCATGTGTGTGTTTTCATGATTAAATGGCACTCTGCATATAACAATTTGGATTCAAGCTCACGGAGTTAACCCCTTTTCTCTGCCCTGATTTCCTGATGAAAATCCTATTTCCCAGATGTTACTCGTCCTGCAGGAAAAAAAACCAGGTATGCATAAGGCAAGGATGCTGAGGGTTCTCATGACACATTAACACCCTTGGGAATTTTGCCTGTAAACAGTCAGCAAAATTCCCCTGTGTCTGGCAGTCAGTCAAGCACAGGTGAGAGGTGTATCCCTCCTCCCCCTGTTCTATCCTTCTGCAGTATCCCAGGAGACACTGCAAGAGCACTGAGGGGAGCAAGATGACAGTGGCTGAAAGGTGGCACTCTCTGCCACTGTCACCTGCTGCCCCACCTAGCATTCCTACTGATGCTTGTGAGCAATCTCACCCAGCATCTGCAGGTGTTCTGGGTAGGAAACCTGGGGTGGGGGGTGGAGGAAGAAGGAATGGGCTACCTTGTGCTGGGTTCAAAAGCCCCCCATAAAGCAACCCGCTACCTCGCTGTGGTGCCATGGCTGCACAGCCCGGAGACTGCGCTATCTCTGTTTCTCAGCTGTGGCGCTCTTGCAGTAGCAGGCAGTGGGCAGGATCCAGATGCTTGGTCTTGCTCCCTTGCAAGGAAGTGAAACCAAGCAGCTGGTTTTTCTGCGGTGCACCTCTTCCTGAGCCCTGAATGATGCCTGGGGAAGCAGTGAGCTGCAGAACCTGGTGGCTTTGCTGTGCTCTTGCCCATACCCACAGAAGGACAGTGGGATAACCCATGAGCAATCCCCCTTCTCTTTCTTTTGCAAGCATTGGCAGGAGCATGGGGGAAACTCCTGCCAGTGGCCATCAGCTAGAATCCCATGACCAGAGTGGCAATGCTTTTTGTCATTCTGGCCAAGGGACTCTTTTAATTTGTGCCTTAATGAGTTGCCTGAGTTCAGTTGGTTAATTAACCCCTGGAACAAGTCATGGGAAACCCATCATGGCTTATAAGCAACAGTGGCTTATCAAGCCATTTACCCAGCAGTAAATGTAACAGTGTATACTATTATGTGCTTTTCTTTTTAAAATCAACTGTGACAATAAGGCATGAATTGGGTTTTTTAATGGATCAAAAACATTTTAATGATTTCAAGAACAACATGTTATGGCTGCATTCTAATACAGCCATACCTGGAACTGGAATAAGTACCACCGAAGTGAACAGGGCTTCCTTAACACAGACATGTACAAAATTGTGCTTTAGACTTCCCTCCCTGCCCAGGTGCCTATGGCAAATGACTTAAAAAATATGAGCCACTTTCTCTTGAATGAGGTTGTTTTATCTCCAAATCTTGGGAAAAATCTGAGTAGGTTAAAGGGTTTAGTATTTTTATTTTATCTAGTTTAACTGAACTATGTTTTAAAAATATTTGTATGCTGCAGTCTAGTTATTATTTTATTCTTGTTTTACATCTTTTATTTGTATAGGAACTGCCTTAAAAAGACTATGGATTGTATCTCATGAATGAAATGGCTATTACCAGAGGAATAAGCCCTCAAAATCTGTTCCAGGTTGGGGAACCTCTAGAATAGATTTTGAGGAGCGGATCTGCAGAGGACAGAGAGGTGGATGCATGGAAGTCCACATATGTGACTTCAGATTTTATCTTACATCTTAAAAGACAGCTTATTAATAAATGTACATATGAATAAATAGATGACAAAGTAAGTTTTAAACTAGGAAACACTGTGGACTAATGCCAAAGTGTTAGTCATCTTTAACAAGAAGATTTAAAATATTAAATCACAGTTTGGCATTCCAAACGAGCCTCAGGTTCACATACTACAGTTTTTGATTTTAGTTTGAGAATATTAGGAATTGATTTAAAGGAAAGGAAGAGATGGCTTACAAGCATGTTACTATGATGGGCATTCCAAATTTCATCCAGGCCCATGGGCATCTGCATGAAGGAAAAATGGGGAAGTTGATCCCGTGCCTGAGCCAGAACCTCCAGTTTTCCAGCTGTCATTAAAAAACAGGGTGATGGTGGAATAAGTCCCTAGCCTTTTTAGAACCTGAAATACGTGGCAAAAGCTGCAGCCACTATTCTGCCTATTCCTCTTGGAGAAACTAGCCTGTTCCCACTTTTGAGAGTTTTTAGCCAATGAATGAAGTCACAGCGTTGGTGAACTACTATCTGGGTGTGTTATGTCCCAGGGGGCGGGGGGGGGGGGGAGAGGCGTGTTCCAGGGATTTTGTGTAGCTGAGTTTGGTAAGTAGTGTGATTGCCAAAAAGCAAAAGGTAGCAGCTGTGACAGAATTCATCTCTCTAACTCAAGTCCTGGTAATATTGGCTTTTCCTAAGTTTATAAACATTAAAACATTAATCCCTGACAATGTATGCAAATAAAGTTCATCAGTATTACAGTACAGGATGCCAGCAGTGGCTGAGCAAATACAGTTGGGTCTTGCAAAGTAGCCCTGCATTGTTGCTTCTATTTTGCACATACATACATGAGTGTATTAGAGAAGAGCGTAACAGTTCTATAGTGTAGTTCAGTGTTGCTGGTGTGTTAGGGGAATGCAGATAAGGCTGTGAGACTGATTGTAGCAGCAGTGCAATTCATTAAGGAAAGTGTTCTAAGATAAAGGAAAACATTCTAGAACAAGTCATATGAAGTTATGAACTTTATGTACAGAAGTACTTTTGGGCCAAGATATCGATAAAAAAGACCCAACATAAATTTTAAAAAACATATAATTAGAGATGGTCTAAAAAAATATGGAATACTTTAAGAAGGATTAGCCCTCCAATAGCTCCTTGAATGTCTCCAATAGAAGCATACTTTGACAAACATTTAAGGAAAAACAATGTTTTTATAATATATGGAGATACGATAGATCAACAAGTAAGAATCAAAAGTCTGCAAACATTAAAAGATGAAGGAAAAAGGATAGAATGGTTTCTTTGCAATTGGTCTCAAGATTGAGAAGGGAAATTCAGCAAGGAAGAGGTACCATAAAAGATCTGACAGAATTTGAAACGCTGATTTCACAGCAAAAGGATAATGTACTATGAAGGATATGTAAGTTATTATTGCAATGAGACAAAGAAACTGAACATGTAAAATAAGTATAATAAGCTGGATGCAGAATTTTGGAGAAGAAATATCCTTCCATCAGTGGGAAACATTATGGACAAAAGGAATAAACTTTACAGCTAGCCAAACATTAAGAGAGGATTGGTATAAAATGTTCTTTCATTGGTAAATTACCCCTAAAGGTATTTTTTAAATGGATAAGAATTATAATGGAAAATATTGGAAATGCAAAGAAGTTGGAAGAACTTTTTACTTCATGTGATGGAAATGTAATAAGGTTTAAAAGTTTTGGAAAGAAATACATACAGATATACAGAAAATTTTGAGAATTAACTCCCAATGAATGCTAAGAATGTTATTATCTTACCAGAAATTCTTCCAAGAAATATGGGAAAATTATTTAAATATATGATAACAGCAGCCAGAGTTATAATTGCAACAAAATAGAAAAAAGAAGACTGTTCAATTGGCAAAGACTGGAAAAACAAGCTAGCTAAATATGCAGTGATGGCAAAATTAACTAACTATGCAACTGGAAGACCATTTCAAGATTTTAATGATAAATGGGAAGCTTATTGTTACAAAAAGGAAATCCAGTTAAAGAACTCATTTACAATTGGAAAGCTTACTAATTTTTATTTTATTTGTAACTGAAAGAAAAATGCAATTTTTGGATATCATTGTTTTCTGAAATAAGAAGGGGAGGAAGAGGAGAAGGGCAAGTAGACAGGCAGTGGAGGAGAGGAGGGGAGAGAAAAGAGGGGGAAATTATCTTTGATTCTAATTTGGTTTCTGGATATGCTCTGGGGTGAATCACAGCTTACCTGTTGTCTACATCAAAGCAATTTTCTTTGTGAAATTGTTAGTTTTATTTGGCTACTTATGAATGTAATTGAATATCATCTATAATTGTTATCATGTAAAATTGTAGTTATAGGTTAAGATGAAACACTGTCTGTGGTCCTTTTGCAACTTTTTATTTTGATGCTTTTGTTCTTCTTTCTGTTTCTTATTATTTAAAAAAAATAAAATTATAAAAAGTTTTGAACAGTATGATAAGGACAGTGATGCCATAAAGTATCCGATATGGTTTTTTAAAGACAGCTGTACTGTGTTTGTGCATTTGGGGGGTTTTCTCAGTTTGAACATAGATGTGTATGTATCCCATACTTAAGTAGGGTTTTACTGGTATTCACAAGGCTTTTCTGCATTAGTCCAGAATCATCTACTCTGAAAGGAATCAGCAAATCAGGGAATGCTTAGAAAGAAATAGCATGCACAGTGAAAGTGCACAGGTGTGCACATTGCAACCATAAATTTGGTTGTGAGCCACCCCAAGGCTTTGTTGCAATGGGGGTGGCATAGAAATGTTTTAAATAAATAAATAATAAATAAATAAATTATGGACTGCTATATACACATTACAACTTGCTATACAGCTTTACCCACTCCGGCCCCCTGGAAAAATTCCTGAGGGCATCCATATAGGGTGGTGATCCCATCGTTAAGGAACAGCCCCGTTATTTTTAGGAGCCGTAGGACAGCTCCACCACTCTGCTTCCTATCACTCATCCACAGTATTGACCAAATTGTTCCACATCTGACTTGGCATTAACATCAATCATAAGTCACCACTTTATACAGCAGTACTTAATTACTTTGACATTCTCTGCAGTTTTCCACTTCAAATGTTTTAATAATTGGGCTTAATTAGAGGGCTGGAGCCTGGCATTTAAACGTCACATAATCAGAGGGATCAATATGCAGCATCAAATTAGTGGCACTATCAGTGTTGGCAGGCTCCTGTTCAGCTGTTGCTCTTTTTCGTTCGCACTTTGAAGTTTGTGCCAGACACAAAGAAACAGATGCTGGTTGCTGCACCCCTCCCCTCCCCAGAGATCCTCTGGAAAGCTTGTATAACCATCAGTGGGCCTGATGCAGAGATGCTTGCACTGAGCAACTGGATATAGATGCCCTGCTCTGCTCTCTGAACAAATGATTGCTGCTCTCAGCTGAGAACTGCTTTTGTCCCTAGGTTGCCACGCTGTGCATATCTGGACAAACGAAGTCCTGCAGTTCCTAGTGTGCCCCAGCCAGCCAGCCAGCCAGCCAGCCATCTGCAAAACAGATTGCTAATTATATTGACATAGCAATCATTAACACGCTCCACAGAAGGCCATAAGAACAATTCTTCAATGCAGTGAATGTACAGCTCTTATTTATTTGTTGCTCACCAGACTGCGTTACAACTGAAAAGATGTTTTCCCAGCACTTGATCTGTTGCATTTTGTACATATGTTGTTTCTCCAAGTAATACATTCGAGGGGTTGGATCCAGACAAAGTCACATATAGATAAGACCCACTGAAATCAATGGAACAAGTCATGATTAACTTGAGCCCCATGGATTTAAATGGTTGTTATGATAAGCCAGATGGGGTTTGGATCCAGCCTATTGTTTAATGAGGTAGTCATGGGGTACTGTGAATGCCACAGGCAACTACTGTAACAATATCTAGAAGGATATAAGTGTCGGTCTGCTGAAGCAAAACCAGCAAAAAATCTTGTGACATGTTAAAAGCCTTAAGGCAATGTGACCCAGTGGGGCTGCCTGTAATATTAACCAAGAATATTGGTTAATATTAATCCTGGGAAATCCTGGATCAATATTACACCTGGAAAACTTTTAAGGGTTAAACCAGGGTTGGTAATGTCTTTCAACCCCAGAATCAAATAGTTTCAGAGAAGCTTTCAGGTGAATTACAGTGATGGGAAGGGCAGAAGGCTTGAGGGGACAAAGACAAAAGTGGAGGAGACAAAAATACATGCACACACAAAAAACCCCAAAACCTCAGCACATTATATGTAAAGTCTTCTGCTACTAAGCTGCAGAAGAGGCATCTCAACCTTCACAAAAACTTCACAGTAGCTGGAAAAGAAAAGGAATGGGGCCCTGGAGAACCAGATTGGTGGCCCAGGAGGGCTGGATTTGGCCACTGATCCTGAGATTCCCCACCCCTGGGTTAAAGTATCACCCACTATTTTGAGCCCTATTTATATATCCATACTACCAATTTGCAGTGGCAATGCCAAATTGTCTCTTTTTCAAAAAGGAGTCAATATGTGCTCAGTTTTGAATATTCGTTTCTCTTCTGCCATGCTGCACATGCTGACATGGTCCTGTTTGGACAATCAGTTATTACAAACCTCCTACCTTCAGAAAATCACCAGCTTGACAGTCAATGTTGACAAAATCAAAATCTAGTGTGATGAATTCCTGTGGGTCTCCTATGAAGAAGGTTGCACAATGCAGCTGGGGCTGTTCGGCAGTGAAGGTGAACCGTCCTTCAATGCTCAACATGTCAATGCACCCTACAGAGGAGATCAAAAGCAACAGAGTGATTCTTCCTTTCTCTCAGGGTCTGATTTGCAAGTCACCTTTTATATCCAAACACAGATACCAGAGTGCAAAATCTGCAAGTCCCTCATCAAGTGTGGGATGTGTATCCCTTTAAAATACTCAGAACTGAACTTAGAGAAGGAATCCCTTCTTCCGATAATCATGTTAAAGCAACATGCACTTAGTTTTATGTATGGACATTTAATGAGGGTTGCATGGATTTTAAACTTGAATGTCCACATTGTAAAGGGAGAATCAGCCCATAATCTGCTGTGATTCAAGGCAAAGTTACATGCAATACTATGGGATGAACAGCATCTTAGCTGATCCAACACCCTCCAGATGTTTTGGACTAGAAATCCTGTAACCCCTGACCTTCGGCCATGCTGACTGGGGATGATGGAGTTGTAAGCCAAACAATCTGCAGGGCACCAGGTTGCCTACCATTGTATTATGCATAGACTTGTGTCAACTGTGATGGCCATTTCTGAGTCTTTACAGCTTCAGTCCTCCCCCACTACAATGACTTTTCTCCCTGTGGGGATTCAGAAACACAGTTGAAACCCTATGGGGGAAAGCCACTGGAAGTATGTTATTTGGAGCAAGGAAAACATTAATCACACCTTTCCTGGCCCCAATAACTCTTTCAAAGTGACTTTCCTTCTTACAAAAGGGAGTTACAGCTATATATGTTTGGGTCTAACACATATCTTGGCCTTTATGTGTAACATTTATAGTTTGGTAAAGAATTTCATGCCCAGGGGTTCTCCTTCCCCCACCCCCACCTCATTCCACCAATCACTGGTTTCTTGGCTTTTGCACAGACTTTCCCACTTCTAAAAGGCTAAAATGGCTGTCCAAAGGCCCAGGTACTTGAAATGAAAACTTTAAGCTAAAATATGCTGGGGTGGATTTCTTTAGTACCTCTTGCCCCATCCCTTTTGCCTTCAGCTCCACCATCTTTGTGTTGAACTCCATCCACCACTGGACTAAGAGCCCTTCAAAATTGGATTCAGTTCCTGGGCTACAAGAAGTTTAGCACTCTGATTTATATGAAACTTTTAAATTTTAGAGCACTTCTTATCTTTTCAACAACAGCCCCGTAAAATTGTTCTTTCCTATTATCTCTACATTGCAGGTGAGGATGAGAGATAATAGCTTAGGTCTGCATAGTACATTCATAGCTGATGTAAGATTTTCATCTGTGACTGCCATGCTATCATCCCATGCCATGGGAACATAGAAAGTTGACTTAAAGTTGGTCCATCTAACCCTGCACTGTCAGGACTGACAGGCAGCATCTCTCCAGATTTTCAGGAAGACATTTTCCCTGCCCACCTGGAGATGCCAACAAATGAACTTGGGACCTTCCACATGCAAACCAGATGCTCTGCCACTGAGGCACCTTCCCCGCTTCACATCACATCCCATGCAGATGCAAGGCGAGAAAAGTCCCACTGATTGGGATAAATATCCACTTGCTTATCATCATAAAACTACACTCTGAATGACAATGGTGAAAATAAAAAGACAAAGAAGGTGACATTGAACTCAGGTGTCATAAATAGCAACATTTCATGCCATCCAGCCTCTTTATCTCTTGTGCTTTATCTCTTTATCTTGTGCTTTAAGCACAGGGAAGACTTAATGTGTACTTGTGCATTCTCTTTCTTTTTCTCCCCACTTTTAAAAATACTTGGGGGTGGAAGTGATGCGCACTGCATGACCTGAAAGGTTGCACTTGATGCTTTAAACTGAGGTCCTGCATGGAGCAAGGAGTTGGACTTGATGTCCTTATAGGTTCCTCCTATCTCTACTGTGCTATGATTCTATGATCTGAAGAAAAGGGATGCTGGTGAAGGACCATAGATTGTTCTTCGCTCTGTATGCAGAAAATCTTGGGTTCAATCCCTAGCATTTTCACTTAAAAGCAATTCAGATAGCCGTTGATGGGAACATCTTCTGTCCAAGACCCCAAAGAGCTGCTGCTAATCAGAATACACATAACTAGGCTAGATGGACAAGGAGGGACAAGGTGAGTTCAAGGTGAGTTCAAGTCTACTTTTAAGGCAAATTGTGCTTATCTTGTGCACATTTATGCTTTACTTCAGGGGTGGGGAACATGTGCCCTTCTAGCTGTTGCTGGGTTGCAACTCCCATCAGCCACAGACTGCCTAGCCAGTAGTGAGAGAGGAGGGGAGTTGCAGTCCAGCAACATCTGGAGGGACACATCCTCCACTCCTACTTTACACTGAATTGTCTCTGTTGCATTTCAGGGTAATCTGGCCCATTCTTTACATTTTTCCCTCTCTACACATTCCTCCCCCCCCCCCCCCACCCTTCTGTATGCATTTCTACCAACTGGGAATATCAATTTATGCATTTTATGAAGTGAGCTGTCAAACATAATCTGCCTTTCAGCTCCACTACATCCATTCTCAAAGAACAAATCACAATCCTTTTCCCCAAAACACCTTTACAAATGCCACCATCAGTGCCTCCTTTCTCTTCCTCACTCTGCCTTGAAATGCTTCAGTCTAACCCCTCCCTTTACAGGAATGATTTATAACAGTCCCTCCAACTTGCCCTCCAGCTGTTGGATTCAGTGCCCATTATCCTCAGATAACATGACCAAAGGCAAAGAATTCTGGGAGTTGTAGTCTAAAACATCTGGAGGGCACCCAGTTCGGGAATGCTGGCTTATACTGTTGCTCCCAAAGGAATCCTTTCCATTTAAGGCATCATTTGAACCCAAAATTACCAGGAACATAGCCTGGAATATACAATCAGAGCAAATGCTCAGCAATGAAGAAGACCACTCCCCACTGATTTCTTCCCAACAGAAAAGAACCAAACCCAACTAGTACTGACAGAGTTGGGACAGGTGCTTCGAAATTCCAGAACAGACAGCGTGACTTTCCAGATGAGATGGGCCTTAACATCTCACTGTAGAGAGTAAGCAGCATTGCAGGCCAATTCCCGTTACACAGCTGCTGCTACATCCTGTTCCCTCCCAAGGGGCACCATCATAGATATCATGAGCCACATTTAAGCCAACCCGTTCTTCTGAGTCTTTCCCCCCTTTTTTTCCTGCCAGATTTTTTCTTCTAGGTCTGTATCACCTGGGCATCCTCTGTCCAAACTGGTGGCCCACAGTTGTATTGGACAGTAATTCCCAGAATACCCCAGCCAGCTCTCTCTCAATCCATCACAAACGTTTCTGCATTCTTGCTGGTGCTGCAGGGAAGGAAGCTGAGTACAAACAAATCCCATCTTTGTTGTTTGCTTCTGAAATTAGTTATTCAAAGCTTATTCTAACAGTGTTCCTTTGTAAAAATAGGGGTGTGGTGACGGGAGGGGAGGAAGGAGATGGGGAGTGGGGAGGCTGGAGCACGATCCTACCCTGCAAAGAAGACCTGCCTTCCGGGTGAAGGAATCCCAACTGTGTATGTGTGTTGGTCACAAGTGCATGGCTGGATCAGAAGCTAAAAGAGGACAAGGGCTTCCTCACAGCTGACTAGAAAAGCAGATTTCTGCAAACTATTCCTGCCAAAATGCTCTCCTATTCAACGCATACAAAACTAGCCATGTAGCAATGCTATTGTCTCCGCACTACTGAAGAGGGAGGCACTTTGCCCAAAAAGGCACTCTGCACATGCTCGCGGGGCATTTTCGTTTTCATTCTTACCAAGGCTGCATTCAGGCATTCAAAGAGGGGCTCCGCGGCTAATGCTGGCTCTCGCCCAGGCGCTGGCACAGGGTTCTCGCCCCCCGCGGAGCCCCGAGCGAAGCCCCAGCCCGCCCCCGGCCCCCACTCCACCCCGCCGCCGGGCTCGCCAGACGCTCCGCGCCCTCTCGGCCGGAAACTCACGCAGCGCCCGGCGGTAGATCTGCCCCTCGGAGAGTCCCCTCTTGAGCTCGGCGTTGAGCAGCGCGAGCGGCTCCTCCTCGCCTCTCACCTGGAGACACAAAAGGCAAAAGGTCAGCTCCGAAGAGCGCGCTTCGGCGGGCGCCGAGCCACGCCAGCAGGGGCCGGGGCGGCCGGGCAGGCGCGCAGAGCCGGCAGCAGCCTCTTCGCTCACCTCGAAGAACCGGCTCTCCCCTTCGAGGGCCGCCCAGAGGAGCAGCAGGAGGCGGCACGGGAGCCCGAAAGCCATGCTCGCGCTGGCGCCGCGGCGCGCCTCGGTGGTGCTGGACGCCCCTCTCCTGCCTGCCTGCCTGCCTGCGCTGCTCCGCGGCGGCGGCGGCTCGTCTGGGGCTCGCTCCCGCTTTTTCTGTGCCAGATCCTTTTTATAGAGCACGGGGGAAGCGGAGGCTCCTGCCCCCTGACTGATAGGGTAACCCATGGTAACTGCATTGGCAGGAGGCACAGCGCGTGGCGATGACGAGGGCCCCCCGTGCAGCCAGCTGCCTGCGCTGCTCCGGTGCGGCTCGTGCCCACCCGCCTGGCCGAGGGGGCTGCAAAGGCAGCGCGGGGGGAAAGGCCCCTTCCTCCCGCTTCGAGGGCGGCTTCCAGAATTCTTCCCAGTGCTCGGAAATGTGCCCTAACACCGGCAGCCCTGCCTAACTTCTGCCCACAGGTCTTCATCTCTGGCCTGGCAAGCATTTCCACCTAATCCTAGATGTGTGGAGGATTTTTTTTTTTTTTGGGGGGGGGGGGGGAGGCACTCATCATATGGGCAAAGGCACTGTCTTTTTAATTATCAATTACATAACCCCAGGTTACATCTTAGAACTGAAATCAGGTCTGCCTTGCTTCAAGTGAAGTCCTGAACTTCAGGAGCAAAAATGTTACCAAGAGAGCATTTCTTCTTCTTATTGTCTGATGCAGAGCAAACACGTTCCACAGTTCTGTGTGTCCTCCAGTAACCCTTCTTTTCCTCACCTCAGTTCCTCATGTTGAAATTCATCCCTGGATTTCCTACTTTTTGTTAGTGTACATCAAAATAATTACGCAAGCATAAATATAGCATAATACTTATGGATAATAAATAATCATGAACTTAACATGACCCTTATCCAGTCTCATGTTTTGATAAATTTGCAGTTCCTGTGTGGTTTAATAAAACTGCTATAGTAATCAACAAAATAACAGGCATGCAAGTTCTGTAAACTAGTTGTGCCCACAACTGGAGTATTGTGTTCAGTTTTGAGCCCCTCATTGCAAGAGGGATATAGCAAGGTTGGATTTGGTACAGTGAAGGGCCTTAAGGATGCTGGCTGGTTTCCAGGGTAAACCATATGAGGAGAGACTGAGGGAGCTGGGTCTTTTCAGCTTTGAGAAAAGGAGACTCAGAGAGGACCTGTTAGCAACATACAGGGATGTGAGGGGGGGTCACACAGAAGTGGGTTTTTCCCTGAGTGGAGGGTAGGACTCATTCCAATGGAGCAAAGGTCAGGGAACCAGAACCAAAATCCAAGGTGGATGCCAGGAAGTACTTCCTGACAGTTAGGACCGCGAGGGTATGGAATGGGCTTCCACAGAGGGGGTTGAAGTCTTATCAGTGAGGGTGTTCAAGGATAGGCTGGACATGCATATGGTAAGCATGCCATGAGCAGAGCCGACTAGAGCCAGGGGTCAGACTAGATAGCCTGGGAGGCCTCCTCTGACTCGCTCTTTTTCTATGTTTCTATGTAAATCTCTCCCACCTCTCCCTTTCCTAAGTAAATCATCCCTTATGACATTTGCCCAATAAAATAGAAAAGTATTGAAATGCATGAATTATTTTGATGAGAAATTAAAAGTAGAAATGCCACTTTGATTCTGCTATTCTTTTAACCCTCCACCTATTCCATATTTTCTTAATATTTTTCCTACCTTTTCACCATGAACTAAGAGCATGAAGAGACAAGCTCTTATTTTTGGTAGAGGAACAAAGTATGGGCAACCACAAATTCAAGAGCTACAAAATCCAATCTCTGCTCTGCACTCTTCCTAGCAGTCCTGCACTGGTGGCTCAGCAAGCATGATCCATATTGATCTGGCCTGTGCTGGGTTTAGCCTTTTCTTGTGACAGCCTGGGGACATGCTCAGTTGTTCAGCATTCCTCCAGGATCACCTTAAGGAGGACCCATCTGGGCTGGAGCAGCACTTGTGAACCAACTCAACTCAGATCACCTTACATTGCACCTGTAATAATAGGGAGCTTTAATTGTCATGTATCCCAGCACAGGGAGACAAGAGGTTATTTAAAGGCAATTGACCTTTAAACACCCTGCAAATAATCAGGCTGTGGCAAACCATTTGAGCTGTGCACTTGGCAAGTAGGAGAGTGGCTTACTTTGAAGAGACATGAAGAGGCTTGGCATTCAGAATACTGTTTGAAAATGCTGCTGAGGGCTTCAGTTGAACAGACATGTACAAGACTCGTTCCACTTATTTCTGAGTAGGTATAAAATCAGTAAGAAACACACTGGGTCCACCCACTTTGTCTTTGGTCACCTCCCAGAGGGAATGCATGATGTGGCCTCCAAGACTGTCCCCATTTTGGAGTTTGGGCCAGAAAAGTTTCTGCATCCTTTTTCTAGACTAAATGGTTAGCAAAATGGTTGTCCTGTTCAGCATCCATTTTGACCTGGTCTCTCCCCTGAGCGAGAGGCCAGGCTAAAGGGACTGCTCCCCAGTTGTACTGCCTGTGTTGGGATCAGCAACTTGATTCCAAATCAACCCAGACTTGGTGCATTCTTCACATTTGTATTCCTTAAAAAATGCCATCTGATTGCAGCTTTAAAGAGGGAAAGTTCCAGAGACGTTCTAGCTCATTCTTCCCTAACCAGTTCCTCTCTTCCAGATGTCACAGATTACAGATTTTCTGACCATTGGCCTCAAGGCTGGGGCTGATAGGAATTGAAGTCCACAACTTCTTGATGGCAAACAGTTGAAGAAAGGTCTTCTAGCTAGATTTCAACTCTGCAAAGACCATCTCTGATGGCTGAAGGTTCTGGGTGTCAGAGAGTGTTTGTTCTTTCACCCTGAAAAACTAAGGCAGTCTGGCTGCAAGTGCTCCAACCAAGCTACTTAAGAGAGTGTGATAAAATTCCAGTAGCCTGGTACATGCAAGCTGGGTATTCTAGAATACCTTTCAGGGCACAGATAGTTTCCTTAGGTGGATACCAAAGGGACTCTGGCAAAGTACCAAGGGGAACAAGGGGTTAAGTGGAAAACATGGTGAGGTAGAGTGACCTCTAATTGCAAAATATGAACAGCCATTATTTGCTTCATTGATTTAGCAATAGGGATGATGCCAGTTTAGAAGCTGGGATTTCTATGTGATGCTCTAAACAATACATATGAAGATGATTTTGGCATAAGAGAGTCTTTATGGCTTTGGGATATTATCTGCTGAATCTGAAAGCAATGGAAATAAAACAAGGACAAATCATTTTCTGAACAAAAGATGTGCAAAGTGATGCTTAGATTTATGAAAAGAAATATGACTATTATATACTTGCAGCTAGTTCACTCATGGTAACATTTTTGATGATTAAATACAATGAAGTGTCGTGCTGAACAATTGAAAGCCTGCATGCATTGTATTAGCTATATGCATGTGTTACAAATGGAGGAAAGAGATCTATACTGAACAACAAGGCTATTTTCCTCTTCCTTTCTTTGCCTCCACTCCTGGATGAGTTTTTCATTACTCTTTCTACTTGGGGCTGATTGATTGATTTCAGTGATGGTTCATGGGTAAAACAATTAAATCAAACTTATTTTAATGGATTGACAGGTAATTCTATTCAGGTTTACTCAGACATAATTTCCATTGGTTTCAATGGAACTTACTCCCACTTAGTGTGCACCAGTTTGCAGTCTAAGTCAGTCTTCCCCAGACTGGTTTTCTTCAGTGGCATTTGGACCACAACTCCTAGAATGCCTACCTAGCAGGGACATTCACTGGGAATTCTGGGTGTTGAAGTCTAAACATGTCTGGAAGACACAGAGTTAGGGAAGGCTGGTCTAAGTGAATCCCTTTGCTGCTCTCTGAAATGCAGTGTATAGCTTTCAGTGAATATAAAATGAAGACTTACAACACTGGCATAAAACCCATGAGCTGGTAGTGCAAGACATTGCAAAGAAAAGAAAATGCAAAAATGCCTTTGTGGAAGCAAATGTGCAGCCCAGAAATAAAATGACAACAAATAGCATAAAAATCCCACACGCTGCTCTAATATCATTTGTCATGGAGAAACTTGGCAAAGTCTTGGTGGAAAACGGTGGAGCACCATTAAACATCTTGTAGTACTCCATGTTGCTGCTGCTGCTGCTGCTGCTGCTGCTGCTGCTGCTGCTGCCATGTGTCATCAAGCTTTCTCAGACGTATGGTGGCCTCATGAATAAATGTCCTGTATGATGTCCTGTCCTTGACAGCTTTGGTCAGCTTGTGAATTCAAGGCTGTGGCCTCCTTTATAGACAGTGCATCTAATACTTGGACTTCACAACAGGGGTATGCAAACATGAAATGTTCAGGCTTATTGATTGCCAAAATTGCTTTTTAAACATGTGTATCTAAAATGTGCATCTTCCCTTTTTCAGGCTAAAAGCATGAACATGAAGATTTCAGACAAGTTTGAACAATTGCAAAATTTTTTTTCCAAGATTCATATTACTGCTCACATTCAATTTTGCAACCAGGACAGATTCACATGTTTTGTGAAAAGGACTGATTTATTATACATCCCTTCTTTGGGCCAAGGGTTCCTTCACAAGGATCACTTGGTTTGGTATTTCCAGCATAAGTCTGGGAGATAAAAATCTCTGTAGAACTATGGTGCTATAGGATTACAGGGAACAACAGCTGTGAATGTATGTGAAAAACATGCAGACAAGAACTGTGGATGGTAGGCTTAAGTACAATGCAGGTAGGAGGAGTCTTTCTACCGCTGCATCTTGTGGCTTAAGGCCATTTTGCCTGGTGAGGCGTGGAGGGTGACCGTATTCAACTTGATACTAGAAGACCAGTTAAAATTGCATTAGGACTTGGAGCCCTTGGACAAAAGCTACACTAATTAGGAAGCTCATTCCACTTAAAAATGATGAGCTTTGACTGTTATCTACTCCACTTGCTATCACAAATGATTCCAAAAGACATATAAGCACTTGGCACTATTCCCTAAGGACTCTCCTCTCATTTCCTTTCTTTCATTGTTGAAGCTATGATGGTTTGAGGCTTGGTGACTCAAATATTAGTGGAACAATGTATCCACTCAGGTTGTGGCCTCAACTTTCCTTAAAAGTTATCCATGGTGCTGAAGC